GAGAAAGGAAAATTTGAAATTGCATCATATGACCCCTTTAAGGGAAGTCCTTTATAAAACGTTTACCTAAAACTCCACCCATGAAGACGTCATAAGTTCTCAGGAGTTTCGGGGGTTTCTCCATTGGGACAGCTGACGGTGAGATCACTTGAGTGGGTAAGTGAAAATCCAAAGCGTTCCACAGTTCAGCGTTCCGTTTGCGTGTACGCCACATTGGAAGGGAGCAGTTTCAGATTCAGTGTTCGGTTTAAAGTGCTCCTCCCGGGTTCAATCGCATTCGCACCATGGCTGCTGTGAAGGCGCTTCAACAGTGGTGCAAAATCCAGTGTGAAGGATACCGGGACGTGTCGATCACCAACATGACCACATCTTTCCGGGACGGTCTGGCTTTCTGCACTCTAATTCACAAACACAGACCGGACTTGAACAGGAATAAATTACATTTTAAAATATATCAAAATAGAAAACATTTTATGCTTCCCAATATTGCATATTTTGATCAAATAAATGCAGCCTTGGTGAGCATAAGATAAATGTAAAAAAAACATCTTAAAAAAACATACTTAATTATTCCAAACTTTTGACAGGTAGTGTATGTAAATGCATCCACCACACATGACTAGTGAATTAATTTGAGCAGTGTAATGTGGGAAGAAACATTTTTGTAATAGCTGCCTATCAGTTAAAATTGTTGTATAAATTCCTTTAATTGTTTGCTGTATGGCAGCTATGATAGGGTTCATTGTTTTGTTTTCAGTCAGCTGATCATTTAGCATAATACCAGTGAATAATAGCAGTGAAATGTTTTTTGCCATGTCAAAAAGGGAGTGAAGATCATCCATCTCCTGATGTTTTTAGAAAGTCTTTTCATTATCAGATCTATTCAGTGTAAATACCTTAGGTCTAAGTATATTATATTTTTTCTGTTTTGTTAACTATGAACTCTCTATTCAACAGATGCAAAGAGTGTTCCACTATTCTTCTCTCTGGCACATACAAGCCTGGAAAAGAAGCAGGAACTTTCATCTGCAAGACACACACAAGCATAGAGAAGCCTGTAACCGTCCCGACTACACACATCACAGTGACTTCACCAAAGACACCGTCCACATTTATAAGCAAGACTGACCAGAATGCATTAGGAGATACTGGAAAAGCTGGTTTAACACCCAACACATCTAAACTAAGCTGGCTGGCCAATAAAAGGGACCGTGCACCCACTCGTGAGTTAACTGCCACACCTACTCCAGCAGTTCAGCTCACACCAGCACCAAAAACAACTCCAGCACCAGAGGCTACAACTGTGAAGACCTCCTTTAGCCCCCGAACGCCCACGGAGTCTCTTAAACCAGTAAGCAACAGTGTACAGAAGAACCAAGAAACCAGAAAGAGGTGAATGTCTTTCAGTTCAGTATTCTGATATTTTATTGAATCAGTGTTGTTATTGTTAAAGGGGTCCTATTATGCTCTTTTACAAAGTCTTGATTTTGTTTTGGGGATGTACTAGAACATGCTCTCATGCTTGGTGGTTCGAAAAATGCATTATTTTTCACATAATTTACATTATTACAATACCTTTCTCCCCAGCCTGGCACAAACGGCTCGATTAGTTCCAGGTTTGATGAAGGCCCGCCTTCCGAAAAACGAAATGTGTTGTGATTGGTTAGCTGTGTAATAACTTGTGAAAACTTGAGGCTAAAGCAGCACTTCTTCTTCTTCGTCGTTGTCTTGTCTGATGCACTCAACCAAGCTTTCTAACCACGACCTCGCCCCTCCCCACCCCCAAACAGTTCAAATTTCCGTAGGTGGGATTTATTTTAAAGGGGTCATATGATGCTGCTAAAAAGAACATTATTTTGTGTATTTGGTGTAATGAAATGTGTTTATGCGTTTTAAATTTTTTAAACGAAATATCTCCCTTTTGAGTGGACTTTGAGATATGTAACTTTGTAGATCTTTTTTTATGCCCAAACATACACACTACACACTGACTAAAATTCAAAAAGTGAAAAAGCATAATATGACCCCTTTAAGTAAAACTATTAAAAAAAAAAAGAAATAAAATAATAAAATGCCAACAAATAAAAATGCCAGAAAAGCACATAAAAATTTTTAAATAAAGCTAAAATAAAAAACTGAAAATATAAAAAAAATAAAAGCTATTAATAAATAATATAATGATATATAAATAATTCTAAAATAAGACTGCTTTGGATCGGGAAATGGGTCCATATTAGACTGGTAAAGGGGTGATTGTGTCCTAGCTGGCTAAATTACATAAAATATGGTTTCTAAGAATTGAATGTTTTATCTCTGATCGTTGGAGTGTATTTAAAAGATTATTTTTATGCATGATGCAAGATAAATCGGTACCATGTCAGTGGATATTACATCTTTTATTTTATTGGAATTGGTCAAAACTGAGCATATCATCCAATATTGAATAATTAATTATTTTCTGAATATTTAATTCCCTTTACCATCATCTAACGCTCCCTTCTCAAAATCAATATCCATTTTCATACTGTACTTTATAATGTTGTGAAGGCTAATTTCACTTTAGCATTTATACCGATTAATTTTAGTTTTTTCGTTTTTATTTTTTCAGATTTTAACTAAAATGTATTATTTTTATTATTATTTTAAAATTATTAGTAGTAGTATTATCAGTAATAATAAAATCATATTATTATTTATACATTTATTTAGACAAAATTTAATTTTAATGTTGGCCATTATGTTTATTGACCATACCATGACAATGGCAGGCTTATTGAATTGCCTAGAACCTTAATATTTTTTTCTTTTTTTTTTCTTGGATAGATTCTTTGAGCCCAGCAGTATCGTGCCTGCCAGTAAGAGCACCTCATCATACACCTCAACTATATCTGTGAGTACAGCGAATGTTAAAACTCCTACACCAGAAAGCACAGCACCTAGAGCCACTGCAGGAGCCGCAGCTGGTAAAGGTAGAGTCCTGCTGCGGGTGGGAGACTGGACAAAAACACAGGACACAGAAAAAGAGAAGGAGAATGAAAAGGAGAAAGCCAAAGCTGTGATTGGCAAGATGGTGACAGTGGAAAACAATAACAACTCGTATCTGAGTCAAGCTGGGCTGAAAGCAAACAACAGGTGAGCTACAGTCACCTACTCAGAGTTGGCATATATTTTATGACTTGTTTTCACAGGGTGGTGGTGTACAAGGGTCATAAATGAAACAGAATTACAGCCTTTATGTAATCAAGCATGTCGATGATTGTTTAAATTCATGTTTTGTTGACATGTTTGTGTAAAAAGGCACATCCATCATTAACACAATCTCTTCTCACTTTGGTTTCTATAGTAATGTTTCCCCTGTGGAATCGGGTGCTAAAGGCCCCTCAGGTAAGATGCGTCTCAAAGCACTGGATACCAGCGTGGAACCTACTGCCCCGGCTGCTGCAGCGCCGTCCTGGATCAAAGATAAAACCTTAAATAAAACCTCCAGGCCTGCGAGCATGCTGTCGTCCAACAGCAAGGGTGAGGAAGACACACCTGATGCACTGATAACATACAGAACTTGATCTTATTAGTTGTTTTGCTTGATGGATTTTTCTCTGCCTAGTTTTCACAATTTTTCATGCGTTCAATATCAAGCAGCATTTGTTGGTCCTTGAATTCTGGTAAAAAAAAAAAAAAGTGGCATGTGGTGGATTTCTGAATTCACATTTAAATTTTTTACTTGTCAATTCATTTCACTTCTCCATTTGAGGTTTGATTTTTTTATCTTTTTTTTTTTTTTCTTGAGGTTTATGAGAATGTTACATTTATCTGGAAATGCAAAGCACCAATATGTTATGCACCAATATTTTTGTACGTTTATATTTACATTCTTGTTGCATCAAAATATTGTCAAGGTTACGGTTTTAAACCCTTTCTTACATTGCTTTAATAACAGCTACAATAATTCAGTAAAAAAGCATTTTTGCATACATAAACATAACCTACCTCTAAAATCAAAGTGAAATTATAACTTAAGACTGTTGTTCAATTTGCTGGTCAAGAAAAACATTTCTTCTTATCATCAATGTTGATACAGTTGTGCTGCTTAATGTTTTGTGCAAACTGATATTTTTTTCTTTTTCAGGATTTTGTTGAATAGAATTTTTTGTTTGTTTTGTTTTATTTGTAATAGAAATTTGATTATGTGCATCCTTGTTAAATAAAAGTTAAAAATCTTACTTGTGCCAAATTTTAGAATATTAGTGTAGTTGTAAGCCAAAATTCTGATTTAATTTATTAATAAACATTTTATTCTAAGACAACAAGGAAGTTGATTTAGGAACATTTTCTTCCTAAATCACATTAAACCAAGTATAATAACGATGATCAAATTTCTTCTCATTTTTAAAATGTCTACTATGTCCATTTCTAAATGAAAACCTTTTGATGTAATTTCAGAAAATGATACAGCTCCATCTGATTGGAGGTCCATGCTCAAGCCTGTAAAGTAAGTTGTGCTTGTTTCTCTCTAAATGAAACATGCTTTTGATCTTCACTAATACTGTCTTGTTCTTTAATATTTGTTAATCAGACAGATGAGTCATTTTGTTCTTTCTCAGTAAAATCATTTAATAACATCTTCTCTATATGATTTCCCTAACCAAATCATCCTGCTCTTCATTGATTAACTGGTTCATTCTCCAGACATTCTGTCCCTCCCATTCCTTCACGCTCTCTTGTGATTGGTTCTCTTGATGGGCGTGTAAACCAGCTGCGCCCAATAAGACCAGCAGTGGGTCGTATTTGAAAGTCCCCAGAGCACTAGAGCTCAGTGCACAAGCACGTCCCCCATGAAGATCTTTCAACTGTAACTGCCCCTTTAACATGCCTCACCCTCCTAAACTTTCACCTGTCAGAGGTGAGAGAAGCCATGCTGAACATTTAGTTGCTCAGAAACAAAACAGAAAAGTTTAATATCTTCTCATCTCTTTTCCTTTTTATAGAACTGTCGGTTCCACAGAAAACACTAGCTCACCCTCCAAGAAGCCAGAAGCAGCTTCCTCTCCACGGGCATCGGGTCCGGGAATCTCCCAGACATCTGTTCCTGCACCATCTACCACAAACATCTCCATTAGCATCAACTCACCCAAAGCTCCCTCACCTAGCCCGATTAATAACAGGCCGAAATCTAGCGGTAAGATCTTAGGAAAATGTGTAGAAATAGCCTTGTTGTTAAATAATCTTTTATTCAACAATGGAGGTCACATAAGAACAAATGTCTTTTCAAAAAGAAGGAAGGAAGGAAGGAAGGAAGGAGGTGATGTGCCTAAAACAAGTTGTAAATGGGAAACAGAATAATACATTTAGATTTATGCTAAAATACACACCACCAGTCAAAAATTAAATACGCTAAAGATATTTTCTCTGAAAACCAATGTTCTATTAATTAATATACTATTATAATATTTTAATATTTTGAATTAAGTGAAAATATAAGAACATAAACTTTCATTTTAATTTGAGTAATTGTATGTGCTTTTGTCATTAGTTTTTACATTTTTTTATTTTTCAGTTTTAGTTTTAGTAATTTTAGCGCTTCAACAAACTTATTTTAGTCAAGGCAGGATTTATGATTTTTGTGAAAGTTTCAGCTTTAAGTTTGTTTTTCGTCTAATGTTATATTTCATTTCAGCTTTTTTACTTACCGACAAACGATTTTTAATCATTTTAGTGAACAACAACCACAACACTCCTAAAAACTAGTACAATTTTGTTTCTTTGATATCTTGTTTTAATGATGTTAAAATGTTGTTATTATTACTGTGAAACAAGATCAAGATACTGATTTTCTTTTTGCAGTGTATTATTACCATTTTCACACATCAGGTTATGAACCTAGTCCTTCAGTGTCACAAATACATGATTTTTTTTTTCATGGTACCATGTCCAAAAACTATGGTAAATGAGGTTATACTTTCTGTAAGGGTCCCAGGTACAGCCAAACATGCATTATATATTAACATGAACAATAACATTAATTGCATTTCAATTAATAAAGGAGCACTGCATGCAGTACATTTGTTTGTTAGTTTCTCTGTTCATCTGTATGTTTGCATCTCTGTCTGTCTTCCAGACTCCAGCAGTGGCAGCATTGTATCTCCTGTTAGTCCCTCAGAGACTGAAACTCACAAATTGCACAAGGTGTGTGTCAAAACAATAATTACATGTGTTATCTGGTCTTCTGCATTTCTGTCTGCACTGATGTGTGTGAGTCAAAAGGACCTTTGGGGCAGTTATCTTTGAATCAAGTAATAAATAAATCAAATAAAAAGTCAAATAAAGTGACTTCATAGTAAGTCCAGATTTTTGAACCGTCTTTTCACTCCTCTGATAGACTAGAAAATCATTTAAAGGAATAAATAAACCATTGAGGATCTGTGCAAAGTCGTTTGTGCAGAAAGTTCACGTTTGACGTATTGTGTGTCTGTTTGCTTTAGCCGGGTTACATTCCTAAGGAAGGCATTCAAAAAGAACTGAAGGAAATCGAGATGAATATGAACGAGTTGGAGAAAAGAGGAGTAGAGCTGGAAAAACAACTCCGACAATGTGATGAGGGTCTGTACACACACACACACACACACACTCTTAAAAATGGCTCTTTTACAAATAAGGAAAGAATGAATAGCCTTGTCAGATCCACTTCTCAGACAATCACATTATAAAGGAAGAATTATTTTACTGTGCCCATTTATCTTGCAAAACAAATGGATACATATTATGAATTGTAAAATTTAGCAACTTTCAATAAAAAAAAAAAAAAGTTTACTTAAAAAATATATATAAT